CTTCAAGTCTCACATTTATGTTTTAAAATCCATTTTGAGTTAATTTTGTGAGTGGTGGAAGACAGAAGTCTAGTTTTATTCTTTTCCATATGAATATCCAAATTTTTCCCAGCCCCATTTATTAGAGACTGTATTTCCTGTTGAGTATTCTTGGCTCCCTCATCAAATATTAGTTGACTGGATATGCATGGGTTTATTTTCCAGGCTCTCAACTCAGTTCCATTGGTCTCTGTTTTAATTAGTAGAGCACTAGAATATGGTTTGACATCAGCAAATGTGATGCCTTCAGCTTTGTTCTTTTTTCTCAGGATTGCTTTGGCTATTTGGTTAACAGTCCTGAATGCTTTTTAGCATGCTTATCACCTGCGGATCTTTTCCAGTGAAATGTCTGTTTTCAGTCTTTTGCCTATTTTCTAATGGATTTTTCTAAGCTGTTGAGGGTCAAGTTCTTTATATATTCTAGATGCTACTCTTTTGTCAGCCATGTAGTTTACAAATGTTTCCTCCTAGTCTGTGGCTTGACTTTCCATCCTCTTCTTGTAGGCTTTTGCCGTTTTTAATTTTGGTGAAGTCCAGCTTATCAATTTTCCCTTTTTCGGATCGTGCTTTTGGTTGGTATCAAGTCTTAAGAAAGAACTCTTTGCCGAGCTCTAGATCATGAAGATTTTCTATTTTTTCCCCCTAAATTTTCATAGTCTTACATTGAAGTACAGGATACTTTTGGGTTCATTTTTGTATAAAGTATGAGGTGCAAGTTGAGGTTATTTTTGTTGTTGAAAAGGCTATCCTAGCCTCTACTGAATTGCTTTTGCTCTTTGATCAAAAATCCATTGAGCATATTTGTGTGTCAATTTCTGGGTTCTTTATTCTGCTCTAGTGATCTATGTGTCTATTTCTTTACCAATACCACACTGTCTTGATTACTGCATTAATCAAGGGCTGCCTAATAAAGTATCACAAATGGGGCACCTGGGTGGCTCAGTTAAGTGTCTGACTCTTGGCTTTGGCTCAGGTCATGATCTTAGGGTCATGAGATGGAGGTCTGTGTCAGGCTCTGAGCTCAGCAGGGGTCTGCTTGAGATCCTCTTCCTCTCCCTCTGCCCCTCCCCTGCTTGCATGTGAGTGTACTCTCTCTCTCTCAAATAAATAAATCTTAAAAAAAAAATAAAGTATCACAGACTGGGTGGCTTAAAACACATTTATTTTCTCACAGTTCTGTAGCCTAGAAGTCCAAGATCAAGGTGTTGGTACGGCTGGTTTCTTCTGAGGGCCTTTTTCCTTGACTTGTAGATGGCTACCTTCCTTTTACCTAATCAGTCTTCCCTCTGTGCCTGTCTGTATTCTTAAATCTCTTCTTATAAGGACCCAGTCATATCTGATTAGGGCCCACTCATATGATTTCATTTTACCTTAATTTTAGAAATACTGTACTGGTGGCAAGATTTATTATTTTACCAGATTGCTTATGAACATTAGTGGCTGTAATATGTACTGCAAACTTCAAGAATACACTCAAAACATCTCAAGTGATTAAAAAAATTTTATTTGTCATCCCAAACTGATCATATATTACAAATTCTGATCAAAATAATAATATTAAAGGTATTTTCAGTAGTACCACAAACTACCTGTACCTGAAGATAAAACCAAATAGTCAACTGGTAAGCATACGCTGAAATTTACCCATGTTTAAAATATCATTTTGTTTAAAAAATTCACATACATGTTTTTCTGGTTATGAAGTAGAAGGGGCACACAAATAGCTATATATGATTTTCATTTAACAAACCCATGCTCTGAATGAGTCATCAAAAGACTACAAAATCTTGTAATTTTTTTTAATGGTGCATGAGACAGTACATTGTTTTATAAAACAAAATACAGTACTTCTAATTCTCCTCATAATCCTTTTCAAGTCCACTGTGAGAGCTGCTCTGAAGTGTCTAGCAGCTTGGCTGGCTAACGGGTTCCTACATCATCTCTACATTGGGTTGGGTTGTGGGGGATGGCAAAAGGGGCATTCTAATCTACAAGTTCTGAGAATACAGAAGTACAGATTCCCCATTAGAAAAATGTAGACTTGCCTACTGGTCCTATGAAAAGGTATCACTATTGAATTGGTCTGTTTGACTTATAAACTATAATTAGATTTTAGTTTGTGCAGAGAAGCTTAAAACATACCCTGTAGATTCTTGCCTAAGTGAGACAGAAACACAAATTTGATGGAAGAAGGTGGAAATGAGTATTTTCAATTCTCCTTTACTAAAACACAGATATAAACATTCATCAGCACAGACAGTTACATGAAACTAAGTATTCCAAGTTCTTTCCCTCTGCAAATCATGACTTATATCTGATGTTGCTGGGTAGAGATTTACTAACAAGGAGATGAGGGTTTACCTCTAGAAAATGCTAGAATATTGAAGAAGTCCAAGGCAGAACAAGTACCAAATCTAGGGAGGTAGAGAGAGTGAATTGCTTGGGACCAAGGAACTATGTAACATAAGGGATCATATAAGGAGAGCTTAGGAGACAATAGCTTGACCAATAAAATGAAAATACTAGTTCTATTTAGAGAAGGAGGCAACTCGGTAATGTCTCAGAATTCACGAACCATACAATTTGTCCTTTAATGCCTTGATACAATGAAACAATTTTTTTCACTAAGCAAATTCAGTCATCCAGCCTCCTGAGTAAGGCTTATGTTCTGAACCATAGTTTTTTTAATCGCATTTGAAGAATAATTAGAAAAGGGACTTGGAGGTAAGAAATGGAACATTTCTTGAGTATTTACTTAATCCTAGGCCTGATGCTAAGCACTTTACGTTCCATTTTATCCTAACTAAAAACCCTGAGAAGTACACATTTCCCCAATTCACTCATGTGGAAGTTGAGGCTGAGAGGTCCTCTACCACAAACCGCACGTGATGAACCTGGGATGCAAACTCGGGCCTAATTCAAAAGTTTGTGATCTTTTTATACCAACATGTTGATTCCCCTAAGTGAAATGTCAGAGGTGACCTAGCCCAGGTCTTAATGAGAGAAGAAGAGGAGGAGGAAAGAGAAATTGCTGCTGGGACATTTCTTCAAAGATATCCTTTTGTCTGATCAGGAACTGGAGTTTTTCCATGATAATTATATATTAGAAGTTGGGAATGTGGCACTTTCTCTGACTAGTCTTTGAGGGAAATTTTCCCATGGGGATTTATAATATTAAGGATGAAAGAATTGTTCATTTTCCAGAAGCTGAAACTTGGGGGAGACTTAGAAACATTTGCAGCCTTAGGCTTATGGTACTGGGTGAGGTGTTAGGCTAGAGTGTGGGAATTCATTCCAAGTGGGTTTCCCAAATGCAGCTCTGGTCCCCAGTCTACAAACTGCTGCTCTTCTATGTAACACCTTGTTGTCCTATGTGCCATCTGAAGTTTGGAGCCATGTTAAGACTAGATACAGTGGTTTGGGGGTCACAAAGAAGAAAAGGAATGAGTACAACTTATTCTCAACTGCTTGTATCCGTCAGAGAGTATTAATAAGGGAAGGAGGAAGAATTCTTCAGAAATGAGTGCTTAGCTAATGGTTTCCTGGGGAAGTGGAAGGGGTGAAGTAGCAATGGGACACATCTTGAGCTTACGAGAATCAGGTACTCCTGGATGTTAAGAGTATCATGATCAAAGGCTGATGTCTCCAAACATGAACTATTTCACCTTTTGGAGATATGGCATTTTGCAGATAAAGGTATGAAGATAGCCTAAGTATTCTGGACAAGAAAGAAATACTCCTTCTTGATCTCTTTGTCACCTCAGGCTCTCAATCTTAGCAGAAAGATATGAAGTGGGGAATGGCAGAAACACCCTGAAACTGACTCCTGAGACACGGGATGACTTCTCTGTCAAGCATCTCAAGCAGAGTTAAAGATGCTGTGCTGTGATGCAATGACACAAGAACTGGGCCAAAAGTCATGGCACTCGAGTTTTAGCTTCAGGAGGTTCTCAAATCACTGCTCTCTCTTCTTGATTTAGCTATAAAATAAGAGGGATAGAATGAATGTGACCGCTATAGCTTTTAAGACTCAAGAGCAAGATGATTTTCACTTGAGATGAACTTGTTCCGGGAGGATGGTGGTAGACATTCTGCCATCTAGTGGTCATACTTCAGGGTTTGTAACTAGGGAATCAAACTGGCTATCCCACTGCCCAGCTTCTTAGGGATGCTTGATTTTAGGAACTGCAGTTGTACTGCAGTTTTATTCCAGGGGCCAGATGTCAGTAGCTGCAGCGGAGGGGAGAAGGCCAAGTGATCCCTGCTTAGAGAAGAAGCAAGTGGCCACCTGGTTGTCAAGTGAGAGGTTATCAATCTTGCCTCTCAGGATCTGTCTGGAGATATCCATGGGTGCCTAACTTCCAAGTTAATGTAAGAGGTTTTCTCCTGTAAACCAAAGTGGACCTGAATATGGCCATAAGAGGAGAACTGTTGTTGGAATACTCAGGTGAAGAAAGAAAAGTGGTCTGATGAGGTTTGATGGTAGATCCACTGGACAGTGAGCACAGTTAAGAACTGTCAAGAAGCACAGAATGAAGTATGGCTGAATCTGTATCAGAAGCAAGCCCGGCCTTCAGAGTCTGGGGAAAAGCTTTCATTCCCTCAAGGTAGGGTAGGAACCAAGCAAGAGCAGAAGCCTGTGAAACCAGAAGGTAGTCAAGAAAGGCATTTCAGCTGCCAGTGGGCTGTGGAGGGAAGGATATAGAATCTCTGTCAATGGGGCCAAGACATCTTAGATTTTGGATTCTTCAAGACCTTGGACTCCAGGGATAGATAAAAGAAAAATAACTTAAATAAGAGTGGGTAGAGGGGCGCCTGGGTGGCTCAGTCGTTAAGCGTCTGCCTTCAGCTCAGGTCATGATCCCAGAGTCCTGGGATCGAGCCGTGCATCGGGTTCCCTGCTCAGCAGGAGGCCTGCTTCTCCCTCTCCCACTCCCCCTGCTTGTGTTCCTGCTCTCACTGTTTCTCTGTCAAATAAATAAAAATCTTTAAAATATATATATATATATATAAAGGGTGGGTAGGACCCCCTGGCAAACAGTGGAAGCCCCAACTTGAAATGGGCAGAAATATGTATGTACTTTTACATACACTTCTAGATGCTGAGCACAAGCAAATGGTCCTCACTAAGCAGGGTAGATTTTACCGAGGAACACTATTATTATCCTGATATGTTTTCAACCATGAAAAATGAAATTAGGTTCAGCTATTTAGAATTCTGGTGTAATTTCTATGGGCTGATTTTCCAGCAAAGAGAATCTGATTACAGTGGCCGGTCATTTGGGGACAAGTGTACTGGTAATCTGTAAGAGTCCCTGAAAACCTCATTATGTTAGTTATGAAAAGATCCAATGAGTACACATTGAAAGCTCATCCTAAGGGAGGAAGGTCAGTGGTTATCATTTATCAAAAAAAAGTTTTTGGTGTTTTGAAAATATAAAGTTCGGTGGCTGCAGGTCACTTTTCCCAACTTTGTTTTAGGAAAATTCAGTCAGCCTATTCCCTCAGACCCTCTGGTTTCCATTCTGACATTGCTATTATTCTCTGGTTTTAGAGGAAAGTCTGGGATTTTGTTGAGAAAGTAGTCCTAAGCAGCCTGGATGAAATGTAAGACTTGGCTTCCTTTCCTGGACAAAGAAAAAGATAGCAGTGTTTACTGTGCCTACATATACCTTTACTTCTCACTTGGAATATACCATTAAATGACTCATGAAGAGATGGGGGAGACAGGGCCATCCCAGCCCACTCAGAAACACATCTTGAGGCGGGGAAAGGAAACTGAAGGGTTTTAAAATTGGTGGTACTTGATAAAGCAGGGAAGTCTGAGTTCTCGTCCCATCAATATGCAACAGACAGAACATCTAGATAGAACAATGAGAATGGACACAAATTTTACAAACACCATGATCTGGGGGCAGGAGGACGGAGAAAGCATTTGTCAGATTTGCCATTTATCTTCATTTTGGACATGTGATATAGTATAGAGGAGAGGGGACAGGTAGGCTTATATACCATTTAAATTGGTTTATAGGCCATAAATAAAGATACGGAGCTGTAATTGATGAATGAATACACAGAAGAGTACACTTAGAAAAATTAGAGGTATTTCTATTACTATTTTAGTGTTAACATTAAAATTGGAAGTACAAGGATTAAAAATTCAGAAAATATTAAAGTCCTTGAATAGCTCGTATTTTTACCTAACAGATGGTTGGTAATGAAACAAGGAAAGTAAGTTTTGTGAAATCATAACCCTTTCAAAATCACGTCTGGTAGCATGATCTCGCTTGAATGATTTGTTAACAAGTGCTACAGAGGTCAGTGAAAATATTCTCACAATAGCTGGAAATTAAAGCATCACACAAGCACAAGCTTCCTTTTCACTTCGAATATAAAAATAGAAAATGTACGGAAATTTGCATATCTTTGACAAAGCTAGAAAGAAGCTCTCATTCTGTTGCTTGTAAAATGAATCTAGCATCTTTTCTTGATGCCACCTAAAGTCTGATCACTTAAATATTAACTCCAACTCTACAACCTTAAAAGCAGCACTAACATACAAGCTTAACTTCTGATTGCAGGAACGGGCTATTCTTTTTTACTGGTATATCCCTCCTTAGCTTTGCCCAATAAACCCATCATCCAGTCCAACCATTATCTAACATTCTGAAAGAACATCATATTTTATAGGAGCTTCAAAGGTAAGGGTGTTTCCCTCAAAGGAAAACTGAGGTGCTTACCAAAGGGAAGGGGAAGAGACAGGCATGTGTGTCACTCATCTCCGCTTCTCCACTCTAACCTAGCACTGTACCTGGCACACGGGGACTCCTTAATAAAAGTAAAATGAGAGAATTAAATCAGATGGCTCAGAGGTTAGGACTCTTTCTGCATCTTCACACTTGACATATCTTTGGCCCCTACTTACATTTGACAAATAGAGATTTATCTTCTTAAACAGTTATCCACCTTTGTTTCAGAAGGGGGATTCTACCATTTCAACCTACTGTCTCAGTATAACTGGATAACCTCATCCCACTCAGAAATAGGCCAGATTCCATTGGGCCGCACATTGGGGGGAGAGCGCTTCCAGTCCCATGTCTTCACAGGAATCTTCCAGCTCTTACCATAGTTGGCTTCAAGGTACTCAATAGTTTCACAGGGCACATGAATCTTCATGTCTACAAACTCGGTCCAGCACAGTGTAAACTTGGGAAACAGGTATCTGTGGCAAAACAGAGGCAATGGGGAGAGGGGTTAGGCTCAACAGTACAAGTTTGATCTGAAGAACCCAGCTGCTAGTGAGCTCTGGGCTGAAGGAAAATCCTCCCCCATTAAATAGCTTTGGGGATGGGGCACCTGGGTGGCTCAGTCGGTTAAGCATCTGCCTTCAGCTCAGATCATGATCCCAGGGTCCTGGGATGGAGCCCTGCATCTGGCTCCCTGCTCAGCGGAGAGCCTGCTTCTTCCTCTGCCCCTCCCCCTGCTCATGCTCTTTCTCCCTCTTTCTCTTTCTCAAATAAATAAATAAAATCTTTTAAAAAAATAAATAAATAGCTTTGGGGACAGATATAGTGGACATTTTGTTGTTTCTGACTGTCCAGCATCCCCTTCCTCTTCTACTGTTGACAGCATCCTCATTTCCCTCCCCTATGGTTCAGGAGGGGCTGACCCACCCTCAGTCCCCAGAGATGGGCAAAAAAGACCCAGGCCTAACCGGTACATAATAGTGATTGGATCAGGGATAAGAATATACACAAATTAGGGAAATAAAAGTCAGCTTTGGGATTTTCGTTGGAACTACTGGAAGAAAGAGGCATTCTTTTTGCTGAGGTTTCTAAGCTGGTGGGATGGAAGCTGAGCATCTTTGTTATCTATTAGCAAGGAGAGCCTGTCTGAGAATGAAGTCAAAGCAAAAAGCACCCAAAAGGTGGAGGAAACTGACAGAGCTCATAAAACCCTAGGGAAGGACCTGGATTTGGCTGTGGCCATTTCTTAAACATCTCAGGCAAACCAATGAATATACATATATTCATATATTCATCAAGAATATATATATATTCTTTTTTTACTACATTTCTAATACTTGCAATTCTTCCTACACAGAGGGAGGCACACGTAGCAGTGAGAAAGGAAACAAAACTCTTCTAGCCAGCCAGAGAACCTGAATCAGCTCTGGCAATACAGGACATTCTCCAACTACAGCATCACCCATGCTTGTGCTTTTGGGGCAGGTCTTATTAACTCCTGTGTCCTGGGGTTCACTGTGCTCCTAGATGGCTTCCAACGACCTACTTAATTGAGATAGTTAAAGAAGAAACTCCCAGAGTCAGCCAGGGTATTTTTCAAACTCCTTTCCTAACTCATACTGTAGTGAAAATTTCACATGATACGTGAGCATGGTAGGATGCACTAAGATGGCTTTTTTTTTTTTTAAAGATTTTATTTATTTATTTGACAGAGAGAGAGACAGCGAGAGAGGGAACACAAGCAGGGGGAGTGGGAGAGGGAGAAGCAGGCTTCCCGCGGGGTAGGGAGCCCCATGTGGGGCTCGATCCCAGGACCCTGGGATCATGACCTGAGCCAAAGGCAGACGCTTAACGACTGAGCCACCCAGGCGCCCCTAAGATGGCTTTTTGAGGAAAGCTTCACACCCCCACCCGCTCCTCAAATGCAGGAATAGAGAGGTCTAAGGCCTGGATGTCCGTATGTCAACAAGATGTCCCTTAAAGACAGCTATACAGACCACATTTTTCCTGCTCTGCCTTTTATTTTACTACCTGCCCTTTTTAAATCTCTGTTCTCGGCCACAAACTTACTTTCTTATTTTTAACAGCTCACACATCATTAAATCCCCATCAAATTCAAACTGCTACTGAAAGACTCTAACTACAGAACACTAAAATAAGCAGCATATGTGTCAGGTGAATCTTCTTTTCTTTCATAACCTGGACTCCCCAGGGATAGATAGCAAGCATGACTCCAAGATGCACTCCCAGGCTTCTGTCCCTCACATGAACCTATCTGTAGTTTCTGCCTTTCTTTCATCTCAAATACTAAAGAATCTCTACACCAGTTCAGGCAACGTTAGTTATAATGAATTTTACTCTATCTCTAGTGGAACTATTTTAACTAGCGGGTAAGTTTAAGAAATTAAACCAAAACATGTTTCTTAAAGGTACTCCAGATCAGTAAATTTAATATATTACAAAGTAAAGCTAAAACGAGCAGTTCGTTAGATTTAAGTTTATATTACAGCCCAATATTCTGTGTTGGTGTTTTCTGAGAAATGTTTCTTCTCTTCACAAAATGAAAAGAACTTTCAGTAATGAGATTTGAAGTGACAACAGCAGAGATCACAGAAATTTAAAATATCAGAGGATTAAAGAAAAAAGAAACAGGAAAGAGCCAGATGTCAAAGCATAATCATATTGTGGAAATGGGATCTAGCTGGGATGTTCTCCAAGGAAAGGTCAGTTCTCATATATTCTGCTTTTAAATATCATGTTTTACCACCAGATGAACATAAAGCCATACATGAAAATGAGAGGCTGAACAAATTCTAAAGAAAGCAACAAGTTCCTTCTACCCAAACCAATGGGTGCTGGCAGTTAATAGACAACCCCAGCTGGCTTCTGTGAAAAGGCGGCCACAGCAAATCTCATAGCTAAGGAAGAAATACGATACAGCATAGCTCCACCATCTGCTGGTCCCAATTTTATTCTGCACACTCATTTTCATGGAATTGCTTATTTTGTCATCAGACACAACCATCCATCATGGGCCTCCACCTTCCCCTATCAGATGCTGGTCAGCAGAATGTCCACCTGTCGCATCCTATCAAGTTGACACACTCTAGTTGAAATGAGGCAGAAATTATGGCCCATCTCATAACATAGGCCAGGAAACTCCTCTCTTAAATATTAGCCTCTCCAGTCTATCAAAGATCATAGGTCCAGGATAGACAGGGTGGATGAGAGTACTACAAATTCTACAAAAGCAATACTTTAAACAATGAAATGTTCAAATGAACCAAACCAAAACATTAAAAATACATAAACAATGTGAAAAATAACTCAAATACAATTTAACTCAAGTGTTCATTTTTGTTCCTAAATGGAAACATCCCTGAATCGCTGCAGTTTTCTTTTCACTGAATAATTTTCAATTCAGTCAGCAAAAAAGAATATTCCAGCTTCCTTGGAGGAAAAGAAGAAAGATAAACAAACCATAAAATGTGAAAAGCGGAGTGTAAAATAGGATGGAGGAGAGGCAGACAGGGGGCGGGTGACACACCACCACATGCCATGTACTCTGTCCAGGTTACCAGTGAACAATGACTAAGACTAGAACACACCATGGGTCTGCGACATTACCTTAGCTTTCAGAGCTAAGGTTAAGTTTGGCTAAGCAGTGTGTACTTCAGAGTTCTGGGACAGGATCCAAAATGTGAACAGATTTAAATTCAGACTAAGGCAACCCGTGTAAGCTCAACGAATCTTCTCACACACACAAAAATCCTTCCATTCATATTTTCTATTTCATAGCATCTTTACTTCATTTCATCTCTGCACAAAAGAATAATTAGAATTAAGAGTTAGCTGGAGTTAAAAAAAAAAAGAGTTGGAATAAACTATTTCATTTTTTTCCTCACAAACCTCCTTATAATCTGTAAAACTACTTACTGGTGGTTGGATAAAGTAATCTCATCAGTTTAATTGTACAACCTATAAACATAATTGCTAAATGGAAAACACTGTTTTTATTATTACTAGTTAGCTAGGCTAAGAGAGAGACACCATCATTTACAACTGAATTTGGCCTTTTTAAAACATAAGTTGCGTTAAACTCTGAAGTTGGAATAGCAGAGCCATTTTTTTAAACAAGAATTTCCTGCAAAACAACACAAATGGTTTATTCTCATTACCAATTTTGTCTCTGCTTTTAATTCTTAATTTCTTTTTCTTGTGTTATTCCAGTGCCTGAGCCCTCTTAGCATTCTGCTTAATAGAAGCAGGGAGAGCATACTTTTTTTTTTCTGATTTTGACAGAAAGTCTTCTAAAGTTGATCATGAAATATGATTGCTCACTCTAGGTTTTGAGAATATTCCCTTCATCCAGTTAAAGAAATTCCAGATCCATTTTATTCCAAGCTTGCCAGAAGGCCTTTCCCCCACTTTTGGTTGATTATGAAATTATCAAAAGTTTTTAATGTCATCTATTGAAATAATAATGGAGGGTTTTTTTCCTTTAATCTTTTAATCCTTTAATGTTGAAAATTACACTAATACACAAGTACTACAAAATTTGATTCATTGTGTTTAAGATAGTCTCATCTGTGTTTAACAAGTGTATTTTCCCTTTAAAAATTTTTTGGCATTGTCCTAATCCAGTTTTGCTATCAGTTTCATATAATGAGTTGCTTAAAGCATTTGTTTTATTTTTAAATTTTCTGACATAGGAGATATAACATAGGGAGTAATCTATTCCTGTGAAGGCATGGTAAAACTTCCCTGTAAACTTTCTTTTGGTAGGGAAAAGAAAGGGAAAGGAGAATTTCTGATTATTCAATTTCTTCCATGATAATGGGTTATCTAGATCTTCTTGAATTGATTTTGACATTTATTTCTTCCCAGAAAACTTTTATCATTTTCACATTATACCTAATTATCAAATTTAATGATTTAAAGTTGTCCCTAGCATTTTCTTTTGAAAGTCAGTGTAACTTAGTTCAGAGCATAAATTCTAAAGCTCTTGGACTTCAGTAGTGAATACTGTCTTTAATTTTACTTTTTTTTTTTTCTTGATCAGTCTTGCTAGATGTCTGTTTACTAGTTTTTAATTTACTTATTTTTTTAAGAACCAGCATTTGGATTTGTTGATCTTTGATACTGTTTTTTATTTCATTAATTTTTTTTTCTTTTGACTTTCTTTGCTTTGCTTAGGCTACCTGTATTATTCTTTTACTTTCTTCAATTAAATGCTTAATTTTTTTAATCTATTTTTTCATACTTGTGTTTTTAAGGCTGCAAGTTTACCTCTCTCCTTTTAACTGCATCCTACAAGTTTTGATATGTAGTACATTATCTTTGAGCCCCCCAAATTTTATAATTCCCATTATTTCCTTTTTAAGTCATTAGTTATTAAGGAGGGCATTTTAAAGTTTCCATATTTTATTTTATTTTTAAGATTTTATTTATTTATTTGAGAGAGAGAGGGGGAGAG